GTTTGTCATAACTAAAATGTAGTTAAATTTAATATATATATATATATATATATATATATATATATATATATATATATATATATATATATATATATATATATATATATATATATATATATATATATATATATATATATATATATAATCACGATTTTAAATTGAGAAGTTTACACAAAGTTTCTTAAAATTGAAGATCCAACCTAAACTTAATTGTTATATTAATCTAACATCTAAGAGACAATGCAATAATTGAGTTTATTAGATAGGACCAAATTGTATATCACTCAAATATTTAAGTCTAATATGATTTACGGTAGATTCAATATTTTGATTGAACTCTTTTTGCATGTAAAATATACACATGGGTGAAAATATTGGGTGCCATAATCATAAAACGTGGTTCATCATTTTCTAATACTATGTTGATTTTTCTTTTTTAGGTTAAATATTTGGAAAGGTGTATAGCACAAAAAATTGTACTATTATATGGATCCTCATGCTTAATGATTACTTATGGTAATTGATTTTGTCTCCCACAACCATTTAAAAGCAAGAAAACTTGATAAGCCTAATGACATGACAATATTAAAAACCATAGAGTCAGATAATTAGTTGACTAATCACTTCTTTGAAATGGCTATCATTATTAACAAAAACATGTTTATCTTTTAAATAAAAATTTATACGGAAGACATGGATTTTCACTTAAATAATTGTTTGAAATCTTTTATTTAATGAATTTATTCTTGAAATTAATATTTTTTTGTAAATAAAATTTCAATAAAATTAAAATTTTTAGGAAAATTAATTCTTAATTTTTTAAAATAAAATTAGGAAAAAATTTGGAAAATAAATTTTTCTGTGAATGAAAACTCATTTTTTTTCCAGAAAATACTTATTTTTAAAAAATAATCTGAAAATTAATATATTTGTAAAAAAAAAAACACATTTTAAAATTTTTAAAAAAAAGGTGGTTAGGTTCCAACTTTAATTTTGGTAGTCTTTTAATTTGGGATTCATTTATTTTTAATTTATTAGACTCCTAAATACGGAGTTAAAATCCAATTTTAAATTGTTCCATAAATGCTAAAACATTAATAAAAAATTGAATGTAAAAAATTTGAATGTATTTAATACAATAATTCTAGAGTATCTATTTTATCATGTAATCAACACTATTTAAAAACTATTCAAATCAAAACATGAATTTAAAGATTGTATTTATATCTTTATAGGCAGACTTTGTAAAACTCTTAATGTTAATTTAATTAAAAATAAGTTTGTTCTTGTCTGTCAAAAAGAATTTAAAGTAATTGTCTTTTCTCAACTTTTTTTTTAAATTAAAGAATTTTAATATATGAAATTTATTACCAACAATTATTTTTTGCCTATTAAATTTGCCATTATTTCACCTCCCAAAAAGAAAACTAGCCAGAATATTTTACAGAGACAGCAACTCATTATGACAAAATAGGCCCAACATTTTAATTAGTTAGTTTTCTCACCCCAACAACCTTGGGTGACTATTAAATTATTTTTTACTTCAAAAAAATTTAGAAAAATACTATTAAAATTACACTCAAATTTGACACCACCATATTTATATAAGAGTTGTGTTTATTTTTTAATAGTAGAAGAAGAGGAGGTGATAATGGCATCAAGTGGAGTGTGAGTAAGAAGGTTTGTGTTGGGGAACATCAAATCATGACTTGTTAAACTTGTTCTTTAAATTTTAAGGTTGGTGAATTTAGTTCTCAAAATTTACAAGATATGAAATTAGTAATTGAAATTGAAAATCATCTATTAATTTAATGTTTTTGTATCAATATGTTGGGAGTCTAAGGAGCGTATGAAGTAGTAATAAAATAAATGTTTAAAATTTAAGAGATTTTTATATCACATATTTACTAAAATTTTAAAATTTTATTTAAGAGAGATTTAGGCATGAACGAATTAAAAGAATTTATTTTCATTCAAAAATTAAAATCCTTTAATTTGTGAACTAAACAAATTGTATTGGAGGAACGGTTTTGAGAATTTTGAAGGATTTAGACAAATTGTTTAAGTAAAACCTATGTTGTTATAATATTTCGAAAATTAAAAATATGTTAATGATAAACACTCTTTTATCATTCTATATAAAATCATTCTTAGATTTCACAACAACAAAAAATTTCAAAGTTCTCTCGTCTTCGTCCCTCCCAACTCCCAAACAAAGTCTAAGATAATAGGAGTATGAGTCTATACCAGAAATTCATTTCCCCTCCCCCAGCCTAACCATACCTCTGATACAACTTGTTTGGAAGTCTAGAGAGTGTCGAAAGTGTCAATAGTCTAAACATTATTGGGGAGTCCAAAGAGCGTTGGAAGTGTCAATAGGTTAAATGTTGACTAATGCATGTTAGAACAACTTCGACTACAAGACGCATTACTCGCCAACAGACTTCGACCACATTAGAGTTCGATCCAACATCTCACAAGAGTTAAATGCTATATGTTTAGTGAGCATTGACAAATTAAGCATTCTACATAATTTATAATAAACTCGGTGTATATATCACAACAGTTGTTTATATCAAAGCTATTAAATATTATGCATTAAAGAATATCGCAAATGTTGTTTAAAGTAACTATTGTGGTAAGTAGCGCATCAAACATACAATCACACCTTACCTCACAATGGTTGGTCCAGCATGGTGGTATCCCTTTTACAAACGTTGTGATAGGTGTTTTCCGTAGTAGTGGTGTTCCGAGACTTCCCAATTTCCCACAACTTATCATTTTAGCCCTCGTATATTCGAAAGCCCTTATGAAATGAGAAAACGATCTATTCTACTCATTGCAGAATCAGAGGTGTTGAACCATGTAAACTTGTTCCACGTTGCAAGCAGATCCACTAAATCCATGGTAGTGATAAAGTTTGAAAAATCAATCATCGCAACTACGTTGTTATGTAAATTAGCACCGTTCCTTTCGCTAGAACTTTTTATAACATTAAAGTCTCCACCGCACACCTAGAGGGAAATTAGTGTTTACTCTTATTAAGCTAACCTACATTCATCTTTTGGTGGCAATGATGCAAGAAAAGTATATGTTTAAAACATAAATTAATTGATCCTTCCATTTCGCTTGAATCCTAAGATAACCTTCACCTGAAAAATAAATTTAAACTACAAATACAGTAGGATTCCACAATATAATCAAACCTTTTGACCTACCTATTGAAATTTTTGCAGACAACCATACCTCTTTAGAACCCCATAGAGAATGAACCAATAACTCCCCATCAATGAACCTTTATTTCTTGTAGTAAGCACAACTCAGATTTCTCCACCAAATTAATTTCTTAATGAATTTCCTCTTAAGTTGCATTGCAACCCCCTCGAATGTTATAAGAGAGAACTATCATTTCACATACCATCCATTTAGTAAAATCTTTTTTGTTTAATAGAAATATTTATTTATTTTCAAAATCAAATTAAAATATAAATAATAAAATAAAACAATCTCAAAAAATTCCATAAATACACATCAAACATTTTAAATAATAAATCAAAATTAAAATATCTTGACATATATTTAATATTCTAAATTATAAAATCCAAATAATAAATTACATAATAAAATAAATGGGACCGGTTCGGAGTGAGTACTAATTTTTCCATTATCCGACTCGTCCTCATATTTTATAAGGGGATTTCTTAATACACCTTGTAGTTTACTAAGACACCTCGTAAAAAGTTAAAAATATCTCCTAAATTCATATATGCATCTTTAGACGTATTTCATACACACAACTCATTCTTTTTCGAAACTTGCATAGTTCAAGTCATTCTACTACGTTTCCAAAAATATATTGCCCTTGGCCCCATGGGCAGACATTTCTTCTAAAATTATCTCTAGCAGTAGTCAAAAATCGTCCATGTCAATCCACCTTGGCCGCCCTCTAAGAACACTAATTTTATTAGGATTTCAATGTAAATTGTTGGCTATATTTTGTTTCTATGGTTGTATTGAAATTGAGTATGAATGAGATCTAAGAAAGTGGAAGCAATAAAAAATTGAGTCTTGCTATTTTATAAAAATTCATCTCGAACTACCAACTTGTACTTGAACTATCAACTTTTTACAGTTTTTATAAATATATTTTTAAATTAAATTTAGTCATAAAATTTGTGTGTGATTCAAAAACAAATGAATTTTATCTATATTAATGCATCTTCAAATTTTGAGAGATATTTTTAAATTTTTATAAGGTATTATTCTTCTACATAAAATAAGATAAGAAATCTCCATTTTATAATTGAAAAAATTTTCAAACCCAAACATAAATCCGATCAAAGCAAATTTTTATGTCAAATTCGAAATGTGCTCAAATGAATACCTACTTAGTCTTAACCATGCTTAAATCTAATTTTTTTTAGTAAAAAACATAAATTAGAACACTTGAATAAAATAGTTTTGAAATTTATGCATGGCTTGCAAAAACCACATATGCACTTTGAAAGCATAGATATAAGAAAATTCACAATTCCTCTTCTTCCTTCCCACGTGTATAAAAAATAATCTAACATTGAATATAATATTTTATTAATTGAATTTTAAAATGTCAAAGTGTTCACCTATATTTATTGTCTTCAAATAATCATGAGGGCTATTAAATTAATTTTCACCCAAAATAGTATATTCACCATTTATGAATTCGCTAGAAAGAAAGAAAAAAAACAAAAAACAGTTGTCAAAACAAAGGAAGAAGGAAAACAATTTGAAATGCTTTTATAGATAGAGTTTCTATATTTATCCAAAATCATAACATGGCTATGAAAACGGAAATTATCTTTAACACATGGACCGCATGACAAGAACATGTGTAGAAATTTCCTAAATAATAATAATATTTTTATTATTTGGTGATATAAATGATGGAAACATTTTGTAATGGTTTAGAGTTGTGTTTGTTCCATTGAAATTTTTTTAGAGTAAAAGAAGGGGAGGTGATAATGGCATCCAGTGGAGGTGTTAATAGAAAAGTTTGTGTTACCGGAGCAGGAGGGTTTGTAGCATCATGGCTTGTTAAGCTTCTTCTTTCCAAAGATTATCTTGTCCATGGAACAGTTAGAGATCCTGGTACTATTTCACAGTTCTCATCTCATCTTTGTTATATACTATCAACTTTTTAGAATATAGTAATATATTTAGTTTTTAAAAATATATGCAAAAGGGTTCATTACTATGAATAAGAACAAAGCTTAAGCACAAGGTATGCAGAAGTAATTGAATATAGATCTAGATTCAGATTCATTTAGATCATTCATTTAATATAAAATTTACACTGTTAATTCATCACCATCGTCTGTTTGTCTTACTTTTTAAGCTTTGTAAAGTTCGGCACTACTTGGAATATGTTGCTTCCTATGAAGCACGGATACGCCAAACACGACCTTGATACTGACACGGCGATATCGATAATAGTTTGGAAAATGAATGATAAAACGTAATCACAAGTGTCGGTGCAGGTGTCCGACACAGGCACGGGCACGGATACAGTTTTTTTCAGAGGTATCAGTGCTACATAGGCTGTGTCCGTTTTGCCACCCCTAACCTTTGTAAAGTTCTGCATATACTACTTGGAATGCAAGTACAAGAGTTGAGGAGGATTTTTTTATGTCTCTTTTCTCTCATTCTTTTGAAGTACAAATATTGTTCTCATTCATTAGAAATGTATGTTTGGTTTGATGACTGCAGGTAATCAGAAATACGAACACTTGCTGAAACTTGAGAAGGCTTCTGAGAATCTTACACTCTTCAAGGCAGATATTTTGGATTATGAATCTGTTTACGCCGCAATCCATGGGTGCAGTGCAGTTTTTCACGTCGCTTGTCCTGTACCATCAACAGTTGTATCTAATCCTGAGGTAACCGAAAAATGCTATTTTGTTTGAAGACATTGTAGATTTTTGTTTTGTTTAAAACTTTGAATGACTTTTGAGTTAATATTGTAGGTGGAAGTGATTGAGCCTGCAGTGAAGGGGACAGCTAATGTACTTGAAGCGTGTCTAAAAGCTAATGTAGAGCGTGTCGTCTTTGTTTCATCTATTGCCGCCGTTGTTATCAGCCCTAATGTACCAAAAGATAAAGTGATGGATGAGTCTTTTTGGTCTGACAAAGACTATTGCAAAAAAACTAAGGTAGTTTAGATTTTATTACATTTGTGCTATGTCTCCTTTTTAGTTGTTTCGTTTATGTTGTTTTATTCGTATCTTACAATTGCAGAATATGTTATGTTTTAATCATCGTCGAATAATGTTTCTGTGTTATGTAAATAAACTGATATACTGCATATCATCCAGAACTGGTATTGCTTTGCGAAGACAGAGGCGGAAGAGCAGGCGCTGAACTTTGCAAGCAGAACCGGGCTTCGCATGGTGAGCATTTGTCCTAGTTTAGTTTTGGGGCCAATTTTGCAGTCAACCACTAATGCAAGTAGCTTGTTTCTCATCAAACTTTTAAAAGGTATATACTTATATAAATATGAAAGTCGTATTTCATGTTATTCTACTTTTATTTTATATGTTTGAACTTAAAGGCAGTGATTCATTGGAGAATAAACAACGATGGATAGTTGACGTACGTGACGTAGTTAGTGCATTAATTTTGGCCTATGAGAATCATGAAGAAGGGAGGTATATATGTGCTTCACACGCTTTCAGAACACGAGATTTGGCAGAGAAATTGAAGAGTATATATCCAAACTACAAGTATCCTATAAAGTAAGCTTCAAATTTCCATCTTCTATAAATCAAAGGGAAATTCTAAGATAGAATTCTAAGGTTGAGATTACGTATTCTAGTTCTTCTGAGATATCAATACTTCTATAAAAAAAATTGTTGATTTGTGAGAATCATGGAGGAAATTGAAAGTAATGTTGCCTAATTGAGTAGTTAGGAGTTTAGTCATAATAGTTTCTTCGACAAGGTGTTTGCAGTTTTATTCTTAGTAGTTATGTATGTAGCACTGACACTTCAGATCGATGGTGATTCTGGTGTCTGACATTGACATGACACAATACCAGTACATGTAGTTTACCTTAAATATTTCCATCTTTCCAAATTATTCTTAGTGTCAGTGTGTGTTGTTGTGTTCGGTGTTTGTCTCGGGTCTTCATAGGTATAGTATAGATTTGATGGTTACATTCTTATACATAAATTTCATTGTTGGCAGTTATATTGAGGTGGATGACGATTACAAAATGCTGAGCTCAGAGAAATTGCAAAGTTTGGGTTGGAAATGCAGGCCAATAGAGGAAACACTGGTTGATTCTGTTGAGAGCTATAAGGAGGCAGGACTACTTCAATCAGAACTATTTTAGTTTGTTACATATCATCTCCTAAAATCAAAATAAATGTCACTTGTCAATGTTTTTCAGTTTATGTATTTGCTTATGCTTCTCAAACTAATGTCTGCTTTTATATTTACAATGTGTTATTATTCAATAACTTGAAACTTGATTAGCTCCCCAAAGAAGAACATTTGGACTGAAAAATGCTGAAAATTATGGTTAAATAATTGTAAGAGAAGATGTGAATTGAAAGATGAATGTTGATATAGCAGTTGAGATATCTCTTACAATATCAATTTGGACTGAAAGTTGATTTTAGTTGGTTTAAATGATCTCTATATCTAAGTATAGAAGCCTCTGCTAATAAAATCACATATCTATATGTATCAAATGTCAATCTCTAAATCATGTATTGAAATCTACAATGTTGCAGCTTCATTTTTCCTGCTAATCTGTCCAGCAAAATTCTTGATTTGTAGGGCGGGTTTACTTAAAGTGGGTCTTATCATTTATTTAGAAAAGTTGTTGGAACAAATCTTTATATTGTATTAAGAAAGAAGAAAAATGAAAGAAGACGTTTTGAGAAAAAAAATGAGTGGTTGTATTTAGTAAGATAGTATTTATACACAAAGCTAATTAGCTAAGTAATTTAACACGTGTTTTCTGTCAAATTCACATACTAGTCGAGCTCGGGACTTCACTTTGAAAATTCATTCTCAACTCCATGTCAAAACACAATTCGAATTCTCGTCGAACACAACTAATTAGAAAGCTTTAAAATACAAACAACACACCCCTTAATTTTAACTTTCTAAACTCTTCATTTCAATAAGCTTCTTCAAATCATTGAATTTTGTCTTTTTCAAAGGTTTTGTAAGCAAATCCTCCAATTGAACTTCTGACTTGCAATACTCAAACTCGATATTTTCTTTGTTCACTTGATCTCTAAGAAAGTGATACCTCTTTTCTATATGCTTACTCTTCCCATGATACATTGGATAATTGGTTAGATTTATAAACGATTTGTTATCTACAAATAACTTCATCTTCTTCGATTCCATGACTTTAAGTTCATCTAGCAACAATTCTATTCATAAGGCTTGATAAGCTGCATAGGATGTTACTACGTACTTAGGTTCACAAGATGATAAGACCATTATCCCTTCCTTGAGCTCCAAGAGTTTGGTACTCCGACAATCAAGAATATGTAGTTTGCAACACTTTTCCTTTCATTTTGGTCTTCACTGAAGTCGGAATCTATATAGTCATACCCTTCTGCAATTTCTTTTGTTGATCTTCTCTTTTGGCATTCATGATTCATTGTTCCCTTTATGTATCTCAACACCCTTTTAACTGCAGTGAGATGAAATTTATGTGGCTTATCTATAAACCTGCTCAAAAGCTCAATATTTTGGCAAATGTTAGGTCTGGTATTGCATAAGTATCTTAGAGACCCAATGATTTGTTTGTATAATGTTGCATTTACAAACTCATCATTTGTTTCTCTTTTCAACTTTGCTTTGTCTCTAGTGGTGTGGTTGTTGCCTTACAGTTGCTCATCTTGAATCTTTTCAAGATATCTTGAGCATACGTTTATTGATGCAGGAACACTCCATAGCTTGTGTCTTTGAATTCCATCCCTAGAAAATACGATAAGTTTCCTAGGTCATACATTTCAAACTCCTACATCAGCTCAGCCTTGCACTTCATAAACCTTTCATCATCAAATTATGAGATCAATAAATCATCCACATATAGACATGATAATTAGACTGACTCTTCCTGCACCATTGACATATATTTCATACTCTGAAACACATTTTGTGAAACCTACCTTGATCAGGAAACCATTGATTCTCTTATTCCAAGCCCTTCGGACTTGCTTCAATCCATATAGATTCTTCCTTAATTTGTACATGTTCTACTCATGCCCTTTGATTTTGAATCCTGGTAGTTGACTGACATAGACTTCTTCTAATGCTCTATTCAAGAATTCTGACTTAACATCCAATTGGTGTATCTTTCATCCTTTGTATGTTGAAATTTACATAACAATCCTGATTATTTACAACCTTGCAACAGGAGCATAAACACCATTGAATTTGATATCAAGCTTTTGTAGAAAATCTTTTGCCACTAGTCTTGCCTTATACTTGGAAATTTCATCATTTGGCCTTATTTTTAACTTGAAAACACACTTCACATTGATTGGCTTCTTACTATATCTTTCGACAAATTTCCAGGTGTTGCTCTTCTCAATTGCCCTGAGTTCTTCTTTCATGGCTGCCAACCAGTTTGAGTCGTTCATGGCTTGATCCAAATTAATTGGTTTTGATTCATCCATCATCATCACTTCTTCGATGAGGTCCTTATATACATCAATTGCTTAATCTAAAAATATATCATATTCAAATAGCCTTGTCGACTTAATTCTTGTTCTAGTTGCTCTTCTAACATTCTACTCGAGTGGTTCTTCATTTTGAGTGGTTGTTGCTTCATTTTGGTGGTATGCTTCAAGCTTAATTGGGACTATGTCTTGCTCATGTCGAACTGACTCCTGAGTCCAATTCCACCATTTGCTTTCGTCTACCAGAACATCCCTATTGATCACTAGTTTATCATCTTTTGGTGAATACAACTTCTATGTATCATTTGAATGATAACTTATTAGCACCATGTCTTGACTTTGATCATCTAGCTTCCTCCTCAAATACTCAGGTACATCTATGCATCAGTTGAATACAACTTCTAAAGCATATTGATCCAAATATTCTAAGATGATTAAAATTTGACTTCAACCCTGTTCAAACCTCATAAGGTGTCTTGTGCCTTATTTTCTTGGTTGAACATCTGTTGAGTATGTACACAGCTGTCGAAACTGCTTCTCCCCAAAATCTCTTTAGTATTTCTTTGGCTTTCAACATACTACTTGCCACAATTAGTATAGTTCTATTTTTCCTCTTAGTTATTCCATTATGCTGAGGTGTATAAGGTGTAATGACCTCGTGCTTTATAAATTCATCATTGCAGAATCTTGCGAATTCCATTGAAGTATACTCACCTCCACCTTTATATCTAGATTTCTTAATGTTGCACTCACTTTATTTTTGGACATGCAACTTAAATATCTTGAACTTTGTGACCACTTCTCTCTTTCTTTTGATTAGATAAATCAACATATGTCTTGTAAACTCATCTATGAAAGTTAGAAAGTAATAGTTACCTTCATTTGACCTAACTTCAAAAGGTCCACGCACGTCAGAATACACAAGTTTCAGCCTTTCTTGGCCTTCATAGGTCGATCATGCTTGAAAGATTTCATTGCTTGTTTTGTTCTGCAACATTCTTTCCACATGTAACTTTGCTTCTTTATTCGAGGTAGATTATACACCATTTGGTTCTTGATGAGCATATTTAAACTTCTAAAGTTCAAGTTTTCGTACTTGTGGTGCCATAGTCAGTTCTTGTCTTCTACTGTAATCAAAGGAAGACATTAATAATCAACCAAGTTGATCTCAATCTTAAAGGTTTTGTTGTCTGTTAATGGTGCTCTCATGGTCAATCTTCCTCCATCATCAAATACCTTCATTTAATTGTCCATCATCTTCATGTTGTACCCTTTTGCAAGTAACTGACCAATGTTGATCAAGTTACTTGTCATAGAGGGAACATACAGGACGTTAGTGATTCCTTCCTTCTGGCCATATTTTCTAACTACTTCGATGTTTCCATTTCCTTCTGATGTTTATGCATTCCATCTGCAAATGTGATTTCCTTCTTAACTGATTCAGTCAACATGATGAACCAGATTTTGTTGCGAGTCATATGAATGTTGCATCCTGAATCAAAATACCACACTCTAACCAGATCATCACTCGTTTAAGTATTGACCATTAGCAACACATCATTAGAATCACTTCCTCCTACATGAGCAAATTGAACCTCTTCCTTTCCTTTTGTCCTCGACTCCTTGGACGATTTACAATCTCTTGCATAATGACCAAGTCTTTGAGAATTGTAGTATTACACCTCCTTCATGTCAACTTTCTTCATCACATTCCTATTGTACATTTCTTCCTTAATTGAATCAGTGTGATTCTTTTAATTCTTACTCGAATTCTCATCATTAGCAAGACTATTTCTTTACTTCACATTTTCTTTTCAAGACTTCACGATGAATCTTGCTTGCAATGTCTTTGTATCATCGAGAGTGTATTTCTAGACCGATTATAAACCCATTTGTTTTAGTTTTAAAAAAACAAATCTTTGTATTATCAAAAATATTTTTATAAAAACGTTTTTTAAAATATTAAAAGTTTTTTTAAACTCATTTTATATAAATCAAAAGATTAATTTTGACATCAAATATCATTAATATATATTACTTAATATTAAGACATAGTCAAAACCATATATATATATATATATATATATATATATATATATATATATATATATATATATATATATATATATATATATATATATATATATATATATATATATATATATATATATATATATATATATATATATATATATATATATATATATATATATATATATATATATATATATATATATATATATATATATATATATATATATATATATATATATATATATATATATATATATATATATATATATATATATATATATATATATATATATATATATATATATATATATATATATATATATATATATATATATATATATATATATATATATATATATATATATATATATATATATATATATATATATATATATATATATATATATATATATATATATATATATATATATATATATATATATATATATATATATATATATATATATATATATATATATATTAATTTTAAAATAAATTTATTTATTTATTGTATATTTATATGATATCAAATACCTATTATTTTTAAATGAATTTAATTGATATACACTAATAATATAAAGATTTTTTTACACTATCAATTAATCACAATCACTAATTTATTTAAAATGTTTGATTTTTATTTTAACCATTTCAAAATTAATACATACAGATTATTGTGATGCATTAATAATAGTGTAAAACTTTTTACATATATTATTTAATTTCTTTTTTAAAATTCAAATAACACACATTTTTATTATTTTAAATTTAAAATCATATACATTCTTTTTCTCTAAAACCAATCATGCATTCAAAGGATATTATATGACGATACTTTTTAACTTATTGACAGAAAACAAAACAAAATACCAACAAACAAAACTAACATAAATATACTTCACTCTTTGCAAAGAAGTGGTAGCTAATTCCTCGGAGAAAGAAATATTTGTTGCAAGGAACAATTGCGCTTCATGGAGGCGATGGATCAGTATCAGGAACAGGATCTTGTGGGATATCTGGAGACTCAGAAACTACCGGCGGCGCCGTGAAAACATCAACATCTGGTGTTGGTGTGGCGGAAACAGGTGGTTCCTGTGGAATTTCCGGGGTTGGATTTGGCATGGTGGAAATTGGTGATTCTTGTGGAATCTCTGGAGAAGGAAGAGAAACATCTGGTGTTGGAGTAGTCAAGAGCGGCGGTTCCTGTGGAATCTCTGGTGTTGGTGTTGGGTTTGTCACCGGGAAAGATGGTGGTGATTCTTGTGGAAGTTCTGGAACCATGGGAGGAGGAAGCAAAATAGCTGGTGGTGAAGATGAAAACGGAGATGGATCTTGTGGTGTAGTAACTATAGGAACAAGTGGCGGTGGAATAGTAAGGTCTGGTGGATTTGTGGTGGAAAAAGAAGGAGGTGATTGAAATGGAAGTGCCGGTAAGTCTGATAAGGGAGGAGGAATAACCAGTGGTGGAAACTGTGGCAATGGAGGCGGCGGAGACGGGACTAATGGTGGTGGTGGAGGTGACGGTGGAATTGGTAGAAATGGTAGAAATGGACAACAGGGTGGAATAGGTGGTAATGGTGGTAATGTACAACAAGGCGGTGGTGGAGGTGAAGGACAAGGAGGTGGCGGAGGCGGCGGACAAGCTGGAGGCGGTGAAGGCGGTATTGGACAGCAAGCCGGAGGTGTTTGATCAAAGGGGTTATCAGGGGAAGGAAAAGTAGGGAAAGGCCAATGGCCACAACAATCAAATAGATAAAGGTAGAATGGATCACAATCTAAAGTTGGTATCCATTTTCTTCCAAAGTTTCTTCTTGTTCTATAAAATGTTAACTCTTGTTCATTTTGGTGTTGAGAGTGATTGGAGGGTTTAGATTCAACAAGAGTTTCTTGTGTGAAGAAAAGAAGAGATAGAAGTAAAGGTGTAATCAGTACACTTGCTTTCATTTTGGGATAGAGGTTTTGTTTTGCTTTCTTGTTATTATATAAGAGACACAAACTACTAGTGTATTTTTATTTTTAAAGTAATTTTAGTAAAAATTAAAAATTGTCTTAAATTTATAAGTCACCTTAAAATTCTAAGGCAACATTATGGTTTGTCAATCTGAACCATTTTCACAAAAGAACATTCACATGTATCAGTTAAAATTTACACTGTATAAAATTATACTGTAAACTAATCACTTTTGTATATTTCGCCATATCACACTGTAATTTTTAAGTTAACGATATGACATAATATATTAATAAATTTTTATTGAATTACACTGTCAGTGCATTAATATTCAATTTTTTTCCATTTTCTTTTTTTTTAATTGATTTGCAAATTTATTTAAATTTGTTTAAATTTAAAAATCTCTAATTCTCACATTACAAATTAACTTTGTAATATTGAATTGGACTGAAATCAAACTTTAAGATGGTGTTAGATATAAAATATATTCGAAATTCGTTGGACCAAATATAAATAAGATTATGCTATTTATCGAACACTTGAATCCCACTTCAAATATTTAGTTTTTGACTTCGTGAGGTGTGAATATAAAGCATATCTTACCTTCTGCTAATTTTAAAATTTTGATTTAGAATCAATCTAAATTTTAAGAATTGTATATAAAAATAATTATATGGAAAATAAATAAATATTCAAGCGTTGCACTTAATATGCAACGTTGAAAAATAATTATGTGAGATAAAAATAAAGTATGATTGTAGTTTGGGAAATAATGGTAGGTAATAAATTGCATTTGAACATATCTATATTGGTATGTGATCTGCATGCAGTCTCTAATTGACACATAGAAACCATAAAACAGTGGTCTTTCTTGTTTTGATTTATTCCATTTCTGTATCTTATATAGTACATGCATGAGACTATTTGAGTTGTAAGGAATTAATGGAAAGCCTAGTTGTACGTGCCAATTTAACTAGAAAAATTTTGACTTGATCATGCTTCACTAAATATTTCTTCAATGCTCTTGTAACTTGTAACCATCCTAATCCTTGCGTGTCAATTTCTCTTTTCATTTATTTGCATGCATGGAATCATTAATAAATGATTGTGTAGTGTGCTACAGTATTTATTGGTTGAGGATAAGAATCTTGGTACTAATTTTGTTACTACCTTTCATCCCCTCTTCTTTTTATCTCAGAGAGAATCACTAATAAAGAACAGAGTCCAGACAGAAAAAATGTAGTACTGGTAAATTACTAGTAGGTGGTTAATGTAAGACCTACTCACACTATAATGAAATCTAGGTTACTTAGACAATTAGTGAAAAATAGAAGACTGAATTTTTAAGTTAAAAAACAGAATCTGCAGGTAATGAAGAATAACAGACTGATTATTTACATGAATCGCAATCTCTAATATTTTTTACCATCTTGTTTTCTAAACATTAGTTATGGTGACATGGATCATCTCCAATGATATGAGAGTAAAGTAAACAAATTCTAATATAGTATTTAGTCAAATACAAGTCCTACAATTTATTGTTAAAAATATGGCTTAACAAGCAGCAATATGTTGTCCGGTATTCTAAATTAAGAGTGGACCTAATAGGATTTTTTTCTCAATTTTATTTTCCATTTCCAATTATGATACTAGATGAAATATTATTAGGGTGGAAAAGACAACGAAAAATTCAATATAATAAACAAACAATGTATATGAAATTAAACAGTTACCATAAAACAAACCTAGATATGGTAAAAAATATATATAATTGGCTGGCAATAATATTATTCTTAGTCGTACATAAAAAAATGGAGCAACACATTGCTTCAGCCATTGATATATATAGCTTTAGAAGCCAAATCTGGAAAACCAGTGACTAAGCCACTTCACCAGTTTCAGTTGAAAACAAATGGCCAGAAATGACCCGGCTAGTCGGACACTCAGACTGGATAAAAACAGCTGGGTGTTCTTTTTTCTCCCTTTTTTTCAATTAGTTTATGCTGGGGTTTATTTAATTGGCTACATCACCCGATTTACCAGTCCGAGCTTTATAAGTATGTTCTGGATTATCACGTAGACCTAGCTTAGAGATAACGAAACAATAGGAATCCCAGTCGGTTCTTCTGAGGTATTTCAGCAACTTTTTCCTCTTTTGAACCATTGCTATCAGACCTTTCCGAGAATGCACATCCTAGAGCATCGCAGAATGAAATTAATCAGAAGGGATAAAATATTAATACTATGTCAGACTGGAGCTATGTTCAAGTGACTGGTGATAAGGGTTATTCATTGCACACTAGGATAAACATGTCAAATAGCATAAATCACATTTAGGCAACTAAAACAAGAATACGATATATAATTTATATAAATGTTAACAATATGCAGATACCAATTCAAAATTCAATCAAAAACCGTATGTTAGATTTTGCTAGCAGAACAGCAGAAGTCATAGCAACGGTCAACACATTTGCTCTGCACGAGGGATCAAATGGAATCAATAATTTCATTGTCCCCCATGTAAAACAAGTCATGAACCCAGAGAGTACGGATAATTACAGCCTTCCAGAAGTAGAATTAAATGGGGCAAGAGCTTATGTTAAATCTTCTGTGACATACAGTTCAATAGGCACTATCAAGTAAACCTCTAGAGCTAGACTAAATCAAGTCAAATTGCCTTTTGTATAAAAATAGTAGTTCAAGGCAAATTTCAAAACCAAATGGTGCAAAGCTCAATCTTGGTCATGCATTACACACCTGGTTTTTTTTGCAGAAGACTTATAAAATTGTACATATATGACACGTCATACTCATACAGTAAGGTGTAAAAAAAGAAAGTGTTCCACTTTTTATTATGCCATAATGGCAGTTATAGCAGTTATGTCTTATTGTTGGTCAGCTGTGTTATTTATTTTTAGGAATAACAAATAGAGTAAGAAAAAAGGGAAGATGGTTATGGGGTAACTATTGAATGTTTATGGGAGGGAGAGACCAAGCAATCTAGTTCTTGGAAGAGAGAGAGAGACCAAGACTCTGAAATTTCTGGGATGGGAATTGACTTGTAATAGTACATTATCTCTCTCCTTAGTTTATGTATAATTTTGCATTCGCTATTAGTTTGTGTAACTATGTTTCTGTAGACAACCTATTCTACCATCAATGCAAGTCTGTTTCTACAATTAAGTTGTACTTAGGTACTAGTTTCTAACAGAAATTTACACAAGAGTTAGTTGATTATAACAACAAAATTAACTCCTACCAAATAGAAGCACGTCCAAATATCGGCTGCCAATAGAAAACTTAAGTAAAAAACTATATAAAGTGGTAAAATAACAGCACTAGCAAACCAGATTTAAAAGAAGCACGTGACAAAATAAAACAGTTGTTCATAAACAAAGCAGAGTAACTGACACCATCAACATTTGTGTACACCAATTAGTTGAAAAGACAAATCTTCGATTAAGTATTCTTGCCATTGTATACAGCTACAAACACAATAATATATTTCAGAAAATAACAGAGAAGCAACTCACCTTTTTGTGTAGAACTGATGATAGATGCTTAATCTTGGTTGTGAGAGTGGCAACTGCATAACATTGGTTGGTTAGCATTAGTTCAATAACAAGTTAGAATCATACTCGATCAGATCATGAAAGAAAATAAGTAAAGCAAACCTATTCAGTTACAACCACTGTATTATCAAACACTACACAAATCAGTTAATGAAAAATAGTTTCCTTTACCTTGAACACGAGCAGAGCCACAATCTGACTCGGACATCTTAAATTCATCTCTAACCTTCGTGAGTTCAATTTTCAACTTTTCGGCTGAGGACATGTTATCTGGATGAAAATACTGGATAAAACATAAATTGGCAATGTTAGGGCAACAAATTGATTAACAACATTAACAAAATAATAGTTGTTTAAATATAGACAGACATCTGAAACAAAACAAGACATCAAGAGTTTCATTCAACAATATCAAGCAAACTACAATTCTCATGCACTGAATAGATCAACGTAATCAACAAACAGCAAGGGATTAGTCATTAACTTGATGAAGGACATCATCAGATGCTATCATAGCTTAAAATTAAAAAGATGAAAGCTTCAATTTATTAATGTTATACACTACAGGATTTGACAAATGAAAAATGTAGCTATCAGATGAAGGTTCACACATCAACAATCAACATTTCATGAAGGACAAGACAACAAATCAAAATCATAAATAAGATATACCAAATGAAACCATGCTTGCCTTTTCAACAAGATGCTCTTTAGGAGGCTTTGTCATGTAGGAAGGAGTCCCACCCATTATGGACAAATAATCAATTCTCTGCACTGAAAAAATCATACCATTAGTTTCTTTTTCAATATATAAACACATCATAATAGTCTTAACACATGACCACAATACCACCACCAAGCAAGAGCTTAATAAAACAAGACTACCATTTATTAGAGTTTTGGCCTAACACATTCTTACAAAACCGGTTTGTAAGGTGAGATATAAGCACATGTTCAGGCCATATATTGTTTGATGTGGAACTCTTAACACACACCCTCACGCCTAAGACTAATCATTTGGAGTGTAGAAATAAATGGTGGATGGTCCGATAGCGGAACCCTGATAGCAGGTGGTCCACCGGATCTTAAATCAGGTTCTTGATATCATATTAGAGTTTTGGTCTGACTCATCTTACAAAGCCGGTTTTGTAGGGTTGAGTTAGGTCAAACCACATTTCTTAACACCATTTACATTCAATCCTACTACTGCATGACCAAAGATACAAAAAGCAAATATATACATAGAGAGAGAGAGAGAGAGTATCGTCAATTGGAGATAACAGAAAATAACAGTTCAAATTTAGCTACATTGCAGTGTTAGAGTCGCTACTTAACAACACTACTAAAGTCAAAACAAAAAAAAATAGAGGTTTGTTCAAATTCTATTGTGCTATAGTGCCACTATTTGACAATACTAGATATAATAATCCAAATGGTTTCCCCTTTGCAACAAGATGAAAGGACAAGCTTCTCGAATGTGTCACCACCATCATCATATCATAACTAATAGGAACAATTGAAACATATCAAATCAACAATAACAAAAAAAAATGTTACTAACGTGAAGCTGTCTTTGGCTTCTCCACTTCTTTAGCTCTAATATGGTTAACAGAGTCTTTCAAAATGTTATACATTCCTTTTTCACTGGAATTGGTATTAGCTTCACTTTCATCCATCTCCATCACTTTCTTCAACCTCTCATTCAATTCAGCAATTGAGAACCATTCTTTTCCTTTCACTGGAGGTCTCAATTTCTTCAATTTATCACCCAAATCTTCATACAAGAATGAACCCAAATTCTTCAAACTCACCAAAGGATCATTAGGCTTAGCTAATCTTTCCCTAATCTCCTTTCCGAAAATCGAATCCGGCGTAGTACTAGTCCCACTGAACAACGGGGAGCTTGGAGAAGCCCTCCATCTCGGTGACGGAGTTGGATTACCTTTGAGCTGCATTAAGCTTCCGCGGATAACTTCGAGAGACATAGCGCCGCCTCCTCCGCCGGTTGCGCGTTTTGAAGTTTCCGAACCAGCAATTTCTCCAGAATCACCGGAACGATTCCTATTGCTGTAAATCTCCATAAACGAGATTTGCTTCTTCTGCGACTGCGAAGATGGATCGTCGGGAAGTGGTGCGGAGGACCGGCTTCGGAAACTCTGGAATTTGCTCATGATTTCGCTGGGGGATTCACTCTGTTGCGAATTGGGGGAAAGGAGAGGGGAAGGTGTGTTCGAGGTTAGTGGTCGTTTGAGCGAGCTTCTCAGATCTCTTAGAGCATCCGCGAAAGAGTCGGAAGGAGGTTTGTTTCCATCGTCGCCGCCGTTGCCGCCGGCATTCGAGGTGGAGAAGAGGTGGCGGAGTGAAGGAGAGTTAGTGCGGGTGTGGGTTTTGAGTCTTGTTGTTATGAGGCGGAGAAGGAGCGCCATGGCTGGTGGAGAAGAAGGGAAAGAGGTTTATCAGAGATTAGGGTTTTTATTTACACAGTTCATTCATCTTAAAGCCGCTTAGATACGATTGAAGTTTGAAGAAAAGAAAAACACTACTAAACATTAAAATTTTAGAAATTTTGTCTAAAATAAAATCAATTTTTGGAAATTTAAATTCTTTTTCAATTTTAGGTTTATTCACAACTTTTTTTACAAAATAGGGTCAAAAGGCCTAAAATGAAAACAAGAAAAACTTTAAAAAATCCTCTAACAAATTTAGAGAATGTAAGATAATATTATTATTTATTGAATTGATTTTCAATTCATTCCGTAAAAGAAGTTGGAAGAATAAGAAATTCATGGTTGCTTCGACGAAATAGATAATCTTTTGATTTGAGGGTTAAATATTTGAGAGGTTGCAAAGACGTAATTTTGTGTTTTTTAAAAGGTGATGATAAATCAAAGTTGTTATAGGTAGGAGTGTTTAAAACTGAACCGATTTAATAGAAAATTTATAGTTAAACCAAATTAAATTGAAAATAAAAAAGAATTGCATTTGGTTCGGACATGTTTGAGTCATATTTTAAGAAAATTGTGCGGTTTTGTTTGATTTACGGTTTGTATTTTGCAAATCGAACCAAAACAAACTGCAGTAAGTTAATACATCTGATACATTTTTAAAAATTGCTCCAATTCCACAACTAAAACCCCAAATTTTAATTTTAAAGAAAAATTTACACGTAGGATGTTACTTCACCAAACACTCATACAACTCAATACATCAAAACATAAGCGTCATGTTCCCCGATGTTACAGAACCAGAGCATCATTTGAACTAAAATAAAAACATTAAATGCTAAGAGGGCATCAAAGTCATCCCACAGTCATCACAAGATATCACTCTTGTTGATTACCTATGCAAATATTGTACATAGTCAGCCAACAAACAAGAAGGAATGAGAATACGCTTACAAATAATAACGGTCAAATTTAACAGCAGGATGATAATACGAACATATCATTAATGTTAAAACACAAATACAATTATAAATACAAGCAAATATATCATTTTCAATATGTGCAAAGCTAGTATGCGCCAACTCCTTCACCTATATGCATGTGGTACCAAGTTTGTGGATATCAGAGGTATGTTACTGATTTCTATCCACGGTCTCTGCCCCCTCATCTGAACTGACGATCCCACCAAATAGGTCTGAAACCCGCCTCTGCTCCCTTAATTGAATCAATGATCCCACCAAATGGATCTGAGGCCACCAAAATAGACCGAAATATCACCTAACTCCAAAATATATGCATGCATGATAATGTAGAAAAAACAAACATGCAATATTTGTGTTGTTATTGATAAATCATTTTTAATGCTTTTTTTTATTTGTGTTGTTATTGTTATACTGAAAAACGGTCTGGAATATTGTGTCCATCAAAGGTTTAGTCTTGGTGCGTATATAGGTCGTACGGTTTGGACGGTGAAACAAGTTATGGTGTCGGTTGGCTTTGGAGCGTATTGAAGGGATAATTTCATGCCTGGGGTGGTATGCTTGCACAGAGTCTGCAGGTTTCTTAGCAGGGAATTGGCGTGGCTAGTGATATGGGGTGTAGAGTGTTGCAGGGTTTGTTGATAGTAGAATGTATTGTAGTACAGCAGAGTACTTTTTGTGTCTTGTAACATATTCTTTTTTTTTTATATTACAATATTTGCATTCAATAAAATGTATCACCATGGGCCTTGGAATTGCCTTGAAAGTTCTGAGTTTTTGTGTTATAATGAATTTTTTGTAATTCTAAATGATAATGGGCCTTGAGATTGTTGTACGAATATGGACAATAAACTTTACTAGATTTTCTTGAGACTTTATGAGATGGACTTTGATTTCTTGGTAGTTCTTGTAATGGGCTTGAAATTAATATGGCCTTCTTTTTTTGTAGATTTTTTGAATATCTTGCACCTCCATTTTCCTTTTAAACCATAGCTATCTATCATGAGAATTGGAAAAAGAAATTGCGTGGTCCTCAAAACTAATAAAACATCTCCCACCCTTATTGAATTCTTCCCTAACAATATACCATAAAACGATCTGAAAAATAACTCACGCTAATTTTGAGTTTAAAATGAATTAACACTTCAAATCACAAATGCGTCCCGTATTCATCACGAAAATCGAATCTGAGTTAAACATCCTGAATCCATAAATTCATCTAAACCTGGTCTCCTGAACATTGACAAATCAAATCTTTACCCATGAATCAAATGAATAACAATATGCCTTGAAATCTGAAGGTAGTGACTTGATGTGTGAACTGCGTTACAACTGCACCCAAATCCTTGATTGAAAAGTAAATGTTCTACATGATTCTTCATTATGAAGTATATGACCTCAGCACATCCCGATGACTTAGTCCATTCACAAATTTATTAAACTGACACATAAACCCTGATTAGATCCTCAGCCACACACCCTCCAAATCAATGCACTATGACTTGAACTATGAAATAGACCTGACCCCACAAATTAGGTCAAAACCACTAAACTTCAACCAATCACTCGCCTTGAGTCACTTTGAATTCAAACTTGCACAACCTGACCTTGAACAACCAGTAGAAGCAACATATATATTTTTTTTTTGAATAATTGTCGGTGGGCGAATATACCGACGAAGGTATACAGGTATGAAAAATTTGGGGTATGAGACTGCTAACCTCGACTAAAAGGATGCAAGCTCAAGATCCTTTGAAAGAAGTAAATCTGAGATACGGGGCGAAGGCCAACTTACATAAGTGTCAAGGCCGACCTAACCCTATAAGCAAGAATAATCGAGAGGCTGGAAGAGTTTAAGAATTGCTTCACATGGGATTACCATGAGATGTCGGGTCTTAGCCGGGGTTTGGTAGAGTTGAAACTGTTAATCAAACTTGGCAAAAGGTATCTAAAGCAAACCCCCGGGTGATTTGCTTTAGAGGTTATGTCGAAAATCAAGGCAAAAATCGAAAGGTATCTGAGAAACATGCTCATAAGACCTGCAAGGTACGTCAAGTTGTTAGTCAATATTGTTCCAGTAATTAAAAAGAATGGCACTCTCAGAGTCTGTATCGACTTTAAAGATTTAAACGTTGCCACTCCAAAAGACAAATACCCAATGCGAGTGGCACAGATATAAGTCGACTTCACAAATGATTTTTAGTATTTAAGTCTTTTAGATGATTATTTAGGTTATAATCAAATTTTTATTAAAAAGAAGACGTGATTAAGACAGTATTTCGATGTCCCAAAACCTTGAGCACCGACTATGTTGTGATTTATTTTATGATAATTTATGTAGTATTAGTAACTTATGTCTGTTGTCTTATTTGTAATGTTAATTAATTTATTTTCATTTTTTTTAATGAAAATGTGTAATAAATAATTTTTATTTCATGTATCAATACTAATTAGAAGTGTTGAAACATAGAAATAAGAATTTTGTTTCACTGCTTATTAGAAGTTGACTTTAAATGGAATCTTTGTCGGTGGACTTGTGATTAGTCCCATTGAATTAATTGGTCTCAAAATCAAGTATTAAATTTTATAAAATAAAATATTAATCTTAAACGAACTTTTGGTTCCTTAGTTACAAAATTTTAATCTTTTAATGTTTTTCAAAAATTTTGTTTTTGGTCTCTCAATTTTAATTTTTTTAAAATTTTGTTTGTCTCTTTGTATATGTAGCCGTGATAATTAATCTAAATTATTTACTTTTAATGAAGTGATAGATTAGGATAAAAATTTAAAAAAAATTATTAATCAATAATTTTAATAATATTATTAATAGTCAATATTGGCTTAAAAATTTAAAATTTAATTATTTTTTTCTTAAAAAAATATTAATACTTTTAATAAAATGTTTTTAATAGTTGAAATTAAATTTGTTAGAAATTAATTACAAAACTTAAAACATATTAGATGAGCCTTAAAACCCATATTATTTACAAGAGCAGCCCAATACTAAAGATTTAATGAGTGTAGAGTGAAAAACAATTCCACTACACCTTTAGAAGGGTTAATCAACTAGATTATTTTAAAATGGAGAAAAATAATTATAATACAATTTTCAATATCTTTGAGAATTGACAAACTAGATTATTTTAAAATGGAGGGAGAATTTTTTCTCAATAAAATACATGATCATATAATGTATATCAACATTTACTACACATTTAAAGCATAAAATATTAAATTTAAACTGATTCAAGTAGTATTAATTAAATTGTATAATTAAAAAATATGTTACATTAAAAATTAAAATAATTTGATTGTTCCCAAACAAATTTTTGTAAATATATCAGTCTTTTAGTCAAGAGTGGGTTAATTTCCCTGTGTTTACTCTGATACATAGAATTCAGTTGAACATGTCAATTTTTTATATTAAATCATTTTCAAAATAATTTAATTTAACATATAAAATATTTATATAGAATAAAATACTCTAGTATTAGAGAAAATTTTAATTATACAAAACATTCTTGCTATTTATATTGACAAAGTCAATATTAAAACCAAAAAAATAAATTAATACAACTTCAATTTTATTTTAGTATAGAAACATACAAAAAAATATACCTTCATTTTGATCAATTTCCACTTTTTTTTTTGTTTGTTATCGTTGTAATTTTTATATTTTATTAGTGAAACAATGAATGAGAGAATACCATTTTTATCAACCTTACTATAAATGTATAGTGAATAATATTAAATTAAGGGTGATTTAAGTAATGATATATTAATAATCAAAACATATAATTAAAGAAAATAAAATTAATAATTATGTTAGCATTAAAGCGAATTAATTATTTTGAGACAAACATGTCAATTATTATATGACAAGTGGAGTATTTTATTTTTTACTATTATTTTTTTACTATAGAATTTTGTTGAACACATGTCCGTCATTTAATGTTGAGTTATTTATTTTTATATTCAATTATTTAAAATAAGTTTAAATTT